AGGGGGTCGCGGGGTGCGAGTTCGTTAGGACCAAGGCGGGGCACGGGCTGAGGCGCGGGCACCCCGCGCGGGCCGGGGCTCCAGGCCCGTCGGCGGCAGGTAAGGGGATGGAGGCACACTGGCTAGGACAGCCTCCAGGACCGCGGGGCGGCCCCGGGCGTGGGGAGTGCGCAGCCCCGCAGGCCTGGGAGAGGCCCCGGTGGTCGCCCCGCGGCCCCGGGGAGAAAAAGGGTGGGGAGAGCGGGGAGTTCCTTTCACTTCTGGTCCGCCAGGAGCGCGATCAGTAAGCTGGGGGTAGAGATAGGAAGGCGGCCACCTTAGCACGGGCCGGAGACTACCTCACGGTCCCTATAGGGAACCGACTGCCGCCATTCCCCTCCCCCGCTCTGGCGGGTAAGGCGAGAACGGTTTGAAGGAAGACGCATGCGCAGGAAACTGAATAATAAATCGCCAAAGCTCGGTGTTCAATAATCGCGACAAGACGCAAGCGCAAAACAAGCCCGAAGGCTTTATGAAGGTGGGAGGGGCGAGCCCCAGATGCTCGGGCAGAATAACTGGCTGGCTGGCGGTGGGCCGGCTCCTGAAAGTACGCCGGCGTCTGAGCTCTGTGACGCAAGGGGCGGGGCGGCCACCTGGCTGCGCTTGCGCAGAGCTTGTTCAAAGGGCCTTATTTAGGTTGCGCAGGCGCCTGCTGGCCATTTCGCTCAGCCACGCAGAAGTCGTGCGATCAGGTTAGTGTTTGTTGCTCGATGTGTGCCGCCCAGTGGCCCCGAGGTTGCCGTTTTTGCGAGGATTGCGTGCCCCCAGCTCTCCGTAGAGCCTGGGGTGGGGTGGTAGGGAACCTTCGCAAGGTACGGGCTGCCTCCGGGAGCCAAGAATGGCTCGCCGAGCGGTGGCGGGGCTGCTGGGGCCTGCAGGCCGCGCCGACTCTATTGTGTGAGATGTCGGAGGAGGCGGAGCGGAAGCGCGGCCGCCATTTCCTTGCCTCCACGCTGGCGCCAGGCCGGGCCCCCTGCGGCTTGGTGCTCCGGTAACTAGTGCCCAGGGCATCGTTGGGTGCCCGCCCGCTGGCCCAAGGGGCTGTTTGGTGTTGGAGTCACCGGGGATGGGGTTTGCGCACTACGGGCTTGGTTCTTACTGAGGCGCCGCGGTTTCGCGGGGTGCCTCGCGGGGGAGGGCAGTTTAATTTGGACAATTCCCAGCTCTGATCCTCATCCCGCCTTTGCAGTCTGTTTCGACGCCAGGACCCACTAAGAGACGATGATGTTGGGCACCGAAAGCGGAGAGGGATTTGTGGTGAAGGTCCGGGGCTTGCCTTGGTCTTGCTCGGCGGACGAGGTGCAGCGTTTTTTTTCTGGTGAGTTTGAAGCGGAGGCGGG